AAAAGGTGGGTCCGTGTGAAGGCGTCAACATCGGTGACGACCTATGGATGGCACGATTCCTGTTGCACAGAGTGGCCGAAGACTTCCACATCGGTGTGTCGTTCGACCCGAAGCCGATCCCCGGCGACTGGAACGGCGCGGGAGCGCACTGTAACTTCAGCACTAAAGCCATGCGAGAACCCGGAGGTATGGCTGAGATCGACAGAGCCATCGAGTGTTTGAGCCGTAATCACGAAAAACATATCACGAAATACGACCCGAGAGGCGGTCTCGACAACAGCCGCCGTCTGACCGGTCGTCACGAGACGTCAAGCATTCACTCGTTTGGCTCAGGAGTGGCCAATCGCGGCGCCAGTGTTCGCATCCCGCGATCGGTGGCCGACGACGGCTACGGATACTTCGAGGACCGCCGGCCGTCCTCTAACTGCGACCCATATGTGGTGTCGGAAGCGATTGTCCGCACGTGTTGTCTCAATGAGTAAACCCATCGTTATATATGTCTAGTCAGTGGTGGAAGTGATGGACAGACGGCTGAAGAGACAACACATCTGTCGCATCAAAATTTCTCGTAGAGTTTATAGACATTTCAATTTTAACAACTAATTCAATGAATTGATTGATTTATATTTTCATTTACTAATTGATAATAAAATCCTATTTTCCAATATTCTTGTTCTCCTCTAATGAATACCTCAAACCAATTGTTTGTTTCGTTTGTTTTTTCATAAACTATAAGAGAATATCATTTTTTAAAATTCATTGTTTTCTTCGGATATATATTTTCTGTATATTTGAATTGTTTTTACATTTATTATTAACTATTATATTAACGGAATCAATGAAATGGTGTTAATTATTACATAGATTATATTGTTTAACAATAGTAATTAAAAACTATTACATATACTATGCGATACATGTTATGGGAATAAAACAAATTATTTTACTCATTATACTGTATAACTTCATACTGTACTATAACTGTATGATAATTATGTTATCAATTTGTCATTTTATTAATTCAATTGATAATTAAATGAACAATTATTATATTTCAAACAAAGTGTTTATTAGATTAAAAATCAATTAAAATACAGTGTTTTGGAAATAAATTGTGTCTAAATATTTGATAACAATTTCGGGCAAATTTTAATTTTAAAAACATGTTTACAAATCAGTGATTGATATCAGAGCTGATAATCGTAAACAAATCACTTGAAAAACATTTTAATTTAATAAATAATAGTTAAGTTCATATATAAAACTATTTACAATTACCATCTTTTAGTCGTTCAATAGATAATATAAGCGTAAAATACAAATAATACTTCATTAAACATGGGATCCATTGTTGATCATAAAATGTCAATAATGATCAGTAATTCAAGTCATAAAACACTCGGTAAAGACGCGCACTTTGGGTGTCTTAACCGCCTGTAAAGCGTTGGCTTTCGATGTCTTCACTTTGAGGGTAAAGAGGTCTCCCTTTTCGGTCTCTTTCATCAATGCGTTCAACGAATCCAATAGTTTAACGCCAGAGACGTCGTAATGAGATGTTTGCAAATACCGTAATGTCTGGTATTGAGGCAACAATTGGCACAACTCGTCGTGAAATGGTTTCTCCTTTTCATTCCTGTAGTAAAAGCTGAGACAATGAAGTTCTCGGAGATTATGACAATTGTTGGCCAACGACTGCCAACACCTCTCCTTACAAGTGGAACAGTTGTAGCGTTCGGTGCGATCGCGGCCTTCGCTCGACTCGCAAATGCACTGAATTTCGATGATTTTAAGCACGAGTTTATTGAGTTGTGGCAAACAGTTGCCGATGGCGTTGAACGCACGGCTCGATAGGCAGGCGCGCGACACCTCCAGCACCTGTACGGACGGCAGACCCTCTTTGATGCACCACATGATGCCGTCGTCGACGTGTGCGTCGCTGAAGGTGTTTAAGTCGACTGAGAACTCACGCAATTGTGTCAATGAGGAGATCGGCGACGAAGACATCAGTATTGTCTCGTTGAACGACAGATTCACCTTAAGTTTGACCAAATTCTGGAAATTGTGGCCAATTTTGATCAGCGCTTCGGTGGTCCTCAACGCGTTTGATGTGAACCACAAGTGTGTCAGACTTTGGCTGTGATTTTTAGCCAAATGTGTTAACGCTTCCACCAATAGCTCACGACCTGTACATCACAAGAGGTATAACACATCCATTCAGTGATCAGAAACAATGTCTTTAACAAAACAAAGTGTTTAATACCTAAAGAGTAGAAGAGTTTGCATCGTTTGGGCAGAAGTGAGACAAAGTTTCCGACGACTTCGCGGTCAAAGTTGGTTCCCATTCGGAACTCTTCCAGAAGTTTCATGGGTTGCAGAAGTGCTCTCATGTGGCACTCCTTCATACGGAACTCGTAGTGCGGATCAATCGACAGGTGATAGATATAGGGCGCCAACGCTTCGCCAATGCCTGTCCACACATCGAGGTGTGTCTTCTTCGGTACCGGTTTCAACAGATTCTCTACACAAGAGATGAGTAAATCAATTGTTTGACAAAAACACAAACCATTGAATGACTTACTCCTGAGATGAATGCACTCCAAGTCGGGGAACACTTCGCACAAAACGTCGAAACAGTGGATATCAATCACACAATGGCTGACGTGAAAGCACTTAATGTGCGGACACTTGCGAGCGATGGCCTCCAAATTGGTCAGCGATTGTTCGGCCGTCAGGTCGTAGAGCCAGCCGTCGGGCATAACCACCGCTTGCCTGATGTCACCGCCGGTCACGCAATGGTCGCGTCGGGCGTCCAGACAGAAGTGGTCGTCGTCGTCGGCCCACGTCGTGCCCAAACCCGACTGTTTGGTCAACAACTGGAGGATCACTGTCTGCCACCGCTTGCAGACCCTCTCGACGGCCAACTTCTCCCGAAGAGTCAGATATGAGAACAGATTCAGTAGGAAGTAGTCGTCCAACGCGTCGATACCAGTCGTGAACACCACTTCCTCGTCAGTGTCCGAGTCGTCGTCGGCGGCGGTGTTGTCGTCGACCACATTGTCCTCACTTTTGGCCACTTTTGCCGTCAATTTGTGTCCCGTTTTCGGCATTTTTGGCTCAAATAATAATACGTTTCACTCTTTTTATGTCAATAATAAACACACATTAAAAGTGATGAAAGACAACACACATATCACGTCAAACACAGTGCACTCATTGCCCCCCAATTCAACGATTCCTATATTTATGTATTACACAAATACTCATTATTTGAAACCCCCTTCCATTGTAACGTTGTCTGTGTATGTGTTGTTTGTGCAGCATTTATGTGGCCATCTGTTGCGCAAAATTATTTCATCATGATTAAATAATTTAATTAAAATTACATTTAATTTTGAATATCATTAACATTTGATAAATGCTTGACTCGATTACAATTATAGAGTGAATTGCCAGAAATGTTTAGACCTTTAATAGTGTACTTCACTGTTCAATAGTGTACTTTAAGTTGCATTTCAATTGAGTATTTAATGTATATTTTGTTTGAAAGTTTTTAATGAAATTCATAATTAGTTTTATCTATAAATTTCAGACTTCGAGACTTATCTCGGGATTAAACCTGAAAATTGAATCTCTAAGCACTTCCTCGACATTCAATTCAATGCTAACATTAAAACATTTCTCTCTTAAAAAGTTCACAAAACTTTATACAATTTTCTTTTGGCATTTATTTTTCAAAATTTATTTTAAAGTTTTGTTTTGAAAATAGTTTTTTGATTTCGAAGAAATGTATTTATTATTATTTTTAAGCGTATTGTTCACTGTTTGTGGTGAAAGTTACATGAATTTAAGTAATAAATGTATATAACTATAGAATTAAAGCTATAAATCAAAATTCATTCAAACAGATGCGGGCAATGAGTTGAACGAGTGGTCAAATGTATGGCATTTCAACGCAAACACTAACAAACACTACAAAGTATTTTCCGGACATAACGTCGACTATAATGAGGCGGAATTCATATGCGAGACTCATTCGCTAGAATATTGCGGCAAAAATCTATCACTGGTTACCATAAAGTCATGGTATGAGCAGAAGTTTGTCTACACATTAGCCCTGATGTCGATGAGAGACAAAGTGTTGGGCGAATCCTTTTGGGTCGGAGCCGTTGAACGAGACGATAGGCTCGAATGGATCGGCGGTAAGAAGACAGCGGCGGACGAGAGCCGATACTATGACACTATGTTTGACGAACACAACTGTTTGATGTGTAATCAACGGCCAGAAAGATGTGGTTCACTGGATCTGAGCCGCGGAACCGATGCACACATCTCGCCCTCCAATCGGTGGAAATTCAATGATTGCGACTATAAATACGGCTTTATTTGTCAATACAGTTAAATAATTAATTTATTATACAATTTATTATTGCATAATCAGTATTTTGAATATGGTTCATATTTTATATTTATTGCTTTAAATTATTACTTTTATTTTTATATAAATTTTTTATCTAAATTTAATGTTAACAATTACACTGAATGTTCCGTAATAAATATCTAGATTAGTCTATAGTTTTATAGTGGGATATTATTACTTTTACCACGAAAGTTATTTTATCAAAGAATAACTACAGGTGCAGAGAGTACTTTAATTATTATTTATACAAACTATTGTATAATTATTATCTTAAATCAAATTACTTTAATCATTATCTAAATTAATAATTAAATGTGGAGTCGATATTAATCTATACAATGATTTCAAGTTCGGACTCGAATTGATTGTGTAATTTATTACAAACTATAAACACATCTATGGATCAGACTTTGATGTTAAGTTAGTTGAGTAATAAAGTGTTTTACAATTACTTAATATTGATATTAAATTTAATTGTTTTATGTCTTCGCATATCATAAGAATGTATGTCTCAAATGATAATTATTTTAAACGGCTATATATTGAGAGTATCATAGGATAACATTCAGTGCACAGAATACCAGTTATGAATGGCTTGAATGACTATAATTTAAGGACACAAAACATTTTGACTCTTAAGGATCAGTTGATTATTTTTTACAAACTATTTATAATTAAATAATTTATTTATAAACAAAGTTTCATTAAATTTTTTATTATATTTCACTGAATTGTTTGACAAACTTATCGTTCAATTATGAGAGCGAAAACTTCGTCGTTTGAGACGTAAGTGATATTTAATTTTAATTAAAAAATACAAATTTTTATATTCAAATATCAATATTAGTTAATGAATTTTAATTCTGATTAAAACTAATTGAAAATTAATTTTTATTTTATAGAAGCAAAAAGGGTGATAATGGAGAAGTGGATAGTAAATCGGAGTCACCAGTATCATTATTTCAATTGGTTGGCATTACAATTAATCAGCATTCATTAGTTTGATGTTTTTTATACTTATTTTAAAAATCCTATATTTAGATGCAATTCTCGTCAGCGACTGATAAAGTGTTTATAACTATCGGGACAATCGCCGCATTAGTCGGTGGCATCTCATGGCCAGTAATGACTATATTGTTTGGCGATATCACAGATATATTTGTTGATTACGAGTATTACATGAATAATCCGACGGCAAACGCAACAGTCCTTACATACGACCAGTTTATGACAAAGATCTACGAATTGAGTGGTTCTTTATTAGGAATCGCTGTCTTGTTTTTGATCACAAACTTTCTGCTAAACATGTGTTTCTTAAGAGCCGCTCACAACCAGATCCATACCATTCGTATCAAATACTTCACATCTGTGTTAAAACAAGACATCTCGTGGTTTGATTCCATACCCATCGGAGAATTCTCCTCAAGAATCACAGCGTAAGTGATTTTTTGCAATTAATTGATCCGTTTATTACAAATACACGTCCAATAAATGTATATTAAAATAAAATTCAAACAATTCTTAACCAATTGGACAGTGATTTGAAACGAGTTGAGGACGGAATCGGCGAGAAGTTGGGCTTTGCTTTCTATCACACGTCAGCGATGGCCGTCAATCTGATCATCGCTTTCATCTATGGCTGGAAATTAACTCTTGTGGTGCTGGCGATGGCACCCCTGTTGGGCGGCGCCACAGCCATCATGACAAAGGTTTGTAAACTTATATTAATTTTATAATCTTATATTAATTGACTGAATGGTGAGATTAGGTTCAGGCGACGTTTGCCCGCAAAGAGACCGAGTCGTACGCCAACGCCGGAAATGTTGCCGAAGAAGTGATTTCCTCCATCAGAACCGTGTTTTCGTTTGGCGGCGAATCCAAAGAGACGGACCGATACGTGAAGAATCTTCAGCCGGCGATGAAGAGCGGAATTCGGCGCAGTTTTATGACTGGTTTGGGAACGGGTCTGATGTGGGCGTGTCTGTACTGTGGCTTTGGACTCGGCATCTGGTATGGCGTCAAACTGATTATCCTATCGGACCAGACGGGCGATGGTGTGTACACTCTCGGCAAAATGGTGATAGTCTTCTGGTGTGTGACCGGAAGCGGTTGGAATATGGGATACATTGCACCACATATAGAGGCCATTCAAATCGCCAGAGGCACAGCCCGTACGGTGTTTGACATTATCGATAGACAACCCATTATTGATATTTCGTCCGAAAACGGAGAGAAAATCAAGAATTTTGAGTCCAATATTGAATTCAAAAATCTTAAGTTCAGTTACCCGTTGAGACCAGAGGTGCAGATCCTAAACGATTTCAGCTTAAAGATAAAAGCGGGCGAAACCGTGGCTTTGGTGGGGCCGTCGGGTTGCGGAAAGAGTACTTTGATTCAATTGATTCAACGCTTTTACGACACTCTTAGCGGCGAAGTGTTAATCGACGGCAAGAATGTAAAGAATTTGAACGTCGAATGGCTTCGGCGACAGATCGGTGTCGTCGGTCAGGAACCGGTTCTCTTTGACACATCCATCGCCGCCAACATCTGTTTGGGCTCTAAGAAGGAGAGTATATCGCAAGAGAATATCGAAACGGCCGCCAAAGAGGCCAATTGTCACGAATTCATTGACAAATTACCGCAAAAATACGACACATATGTTGGCGACAGAGGGGCGCAACTGAGCGGTGGACAGAAACAGCGGATAGCTATTGCCCGGGCGTTGATCTCACAGCCGAAGATACTGTTGTTGGACGAGGCGACCAGCGCTCTGGACCTGCAGAGTGAGCATCTGGTACAGGCGGCTCTCGACAAGGCCAGCAAAGGCCGCACAACCATAATAGTCGCCCACCGGTTGTCGACAATCATAAACTCGGATCGCATTATATTCATCGACGGCGGAAAAGTGGTCGAAAGCGGCACTCATTCCGAGTTAATGGCAGCGAAGGGCGCGTACTATAGGCTCGTGAACGCACAGAAGGCCGCAGCGCCCAGAGATAAGGACGACAAGTATGACAACGCTCTCAACGAACAACTATTCAAAAGGTCGACAACAGTGGACAGCGATCCGAACTCATTGCTCGGCAAAGAAGTTCCCGACAAAAAGGACACCGAAGAGGAGATCGTGAAAGAGTTCTCGCAGATGAGACTTCTTAGGCTTATTTGGATCGATAAGACTTACGTAATACTCGGTATTTTGTGTTCAACTCTGTTCGGTCTCAACGTTCCCGCCTATGCCTGGATTTTTGGCTCATTAGTCGACGCCTTCGCCAATACTACAGACAACGGCGTCCTCTACGACGAGTCCGTCTGGTGTGCCATATATTTNGTATTTTGTGTTCAACTCTGTTCGGTCTCAACGTTCCCGCCTATGCCTGGATTTTTGGCTCATTAGTCGACGCCTTCGCCAATACTACAGACAACGGCGTCCTCTACGACGAGTCCGTCTGGTGTGCCATATATTTCGTTATATTGGGCGGAGCCATAGCTTTTGCCGCACTAACCCAGGTATTCAGACAACAAATAAAATACCAATAAAATTAACGTTAATATATTGTACGCAAACTTTGTCATAGATTTCAAGCTTTGGTGTCGCGAGTGAGAGACTGACGATGAGATTACGGAAACAGGCGTTTAACGCTATATTAAGGCAAGAAATCGGTTGGTTTGATAAAAGCGAGAACAGCACCGGTAGTCTGTGCTCACGACTGGCCTCCGACGCGGCAAATATACAGGGCGTAAGTTTGTTGATCATAAAATGTATTTTAATATTGAACAGCAATTAAATTAACACATTGTGTCCATTATTAGGCTTCTGGATCGCGAATGTCTGCTATATCTCAAGCGATGTCCACATTCATAGCTTCGTGTATATTCGGCTTTTTCTACAATTGGAAACTAAGTCTCGTTACTCTGGCATTCATGCCATTCATTATCTTCTCGGTCGTGGTTTCCATGAAAATTGTCTCAAAACACTCGACCAGCGATAAGGAAGCGGCCGAAAAGGCCTCAAAGATTGCCATCGAAGCGATCGGCGGTATTCGCACTGTTGTCTCACTAAACCAACAAAAATATTTTCTACACAAATTCACTCAAGTATTGGCCGAAAAGATAAAGTAATATAAATTATTGCTTTCAATTAAAATTTAAATTTAATTCAATTTTTATGTAAACTTAAGGCCAGCGAAGAGGCGCTGTATATACAATGCCATAGCACTTGGTTTTGCGGAATCGATGCCTATGTTTGCCTATTCGGCTGCCTTTCTATACGGAGGTGTTCTCATATCCAAGAACAACATCAAATCCGGTGACTTTTTCAAGTAAGCAAATGTGACCATAATGTTAAATCTTACCATTAGTATTCCTTAGTTATTAATCCAATCATGTTCATTTTCATACATAGAATTATTGAGACAATGCTTTACGGAGCGATGGTTATCGGCCAGAGTGTTATCTTTGCGTCCGATTATCAAAAGGCAAAGATTTCGGCACAAAATATGTTTCGTCTGATAGACAGACAGCCGTTAAATCAGAGCAATAATAACAGCCCTAATGAGAAGCCCAGTGAATGTAAGGGTGAGCTCTCGTTCCGAGGCATTCACTTCTCGTATCCAAATCGGTCTGAAGTGAGTGTTTTGAATGGACTGTCATTTAAGGCCAAAAAGGGAGAGACAGTAGCGCTCGTCGGCTCCAGTGGTTGCGGAAAGAGTACTACTATTCAACTGTTGGAGCGTTTCTACGATTCAGCTCAAGGAAAGATTGTTAGTCGCAAATATTTACCATATTGTCTTATTACTTGTATTTACAATATATTTATTTATTATATAGTTATTAGACGGCAATGATGTGCGAAATTTGGACACATCATGGCTTCGGTCGCAAATGGCTTTAGTATCTCAGGAGCCGATTCTCTTCAGTTACAACATTAGGGATAACATCGCTTATGGAGACAACTCTCGGTTTGTAGGCATGGATGAGATCGTAGAGGCCGCCAGAAAGGCCAACATTCACGAGTTTGTCAAAGACTTACCACAAGGATATGATACTAATGTTGGCAATAAAGGCACTCAACTATCAGGTATGCATTACATTACAATCTCATAGCAATTAATATAATATCTATTTTAATGGATTAAATGTGTCAACAGGTGGTCAGAAGCAACGTATCGCTATCGCCAGGGCTTTGGTCAGAGACCCGAAAATACTATTGTTAGACGAGGCAACCTCTGCCCTCGACTCCAACTCTGAAATGGTTTGTCTTATATTGTATTGGATTTAAAATAATCACTAAATGTATTAATTTGTGACAACAGTTGGTGCAAAAAGCATTGGACGCGGCGTCTAAAGGGAGAACATGTATAGTAATAGCCCATCGATTAACTACAATACAAAACGCCGACAGAATTATTGTTATGCAAAAAGGGGTGTCTATTGAAGAGGGAAGACATCACGAGTTACTCGAGAATAGAGGCCCTTATCATCAGTTATATAGCGTTCAAACAGAATAATCGTTAAGTAATAAAGAGTGAGTGAGTGAGTGAGAGAGAGAGAGAAAGATTAAAAATAACTGGTTCAAATTTATTGTATAAAATTAAATTATATTGTGTTTGTTTTTATTGAATGTAATTTCCAAATAATTCGCTGTAAAATAATTAATAATTGTTATGTATGTGAAAACAATGGACTTTTGTATTTAAAATAAAATATTTCCAAAGTATCAGGGAACAATAAAAGTAATGTTTTATTTTACTAAATTTCATAATGGTGTAAATGCACAGAATATGTTAAATAAAATTAAAATTGAGTTCAGACTAAAATAATAATAATAATAATAAATTAAATGACAGGTGTTTTTAATTTAAGACTAGATATTCACTCATTTTATTTGACGTTTTTGTTAATTATATAAAAACAGTCAAAATATAGTGTATTTTTGTATAATAAAAGTATTCACTGTTGAAATCCAGTGTATGAGCCGTTTATAGAGGGTGTCCACCAATAATAGCTATTTTCATAATGATAATTATTTTCAGAGCAATTATAGGTTTGCTGTCCGCCACAATATTCAACCTGATCCTATACCACATGGTTAGAAATAGGCAACAATTAAATACTATTAAATATGTATTGAATGCATTGAATTTACTGATAGTCTCCAGAGTCTTGTACACGAGCTGTCGTTATTAGGTGTGTAATAGGATTGAGTTGTGGGAGTAGTGGTCGACGTATTGCTAACCTCATTGTCCGGAGTGGACAGCACTGACTGCAAGTGTGCGATATAACGGATGGCCATTCTATTCAATTTATATCATTATAATAAATTATTAAATTGAACATGGTTATACTAATAATAATTATAACTAATGATAACATATTAGAATTCTTATTAAAATTCCATAATTCCTTAATAAAGCATAAACAATGAGCTATAAATAGAATGACCAGATATCACCAAAAGTGACAGGCAAACTATTTTAGTATTATTATTTGTTTAAGGCAATTTATGTTTAATCTTGTTTATAATGACATCATTTAAACCAATATCAATTTAGCACTATAACGTTATATGTACGGCATTATAGTGAAAATTGAGGTTAAGACTCATTAGACAATTTTATGTTACATTAATAGTAAGCAAATTGTAAACAATTCTTATATAATACAAGTGGACATTTCTCGTCATTATAAATATTTATATTGACATTAATTTTAAAAATCAAAACTTTTCTTTTTTCAAAAACCGGAAAAAATTTTCTAAAAGTTTTTGCTCTATTTATACTTAATTCTTAAGTTTTAATTAAATAAATTAAAAAAACATTAGCTATAAATGAAATCTAAAATGTTATTAACAAAAAATGTCAAATAAAACAAGTGAAATACCGGAGCGATTCAATTTTGGAGAGCCGTTTGCCCCTCGGCTTAAGACAGGGAAGTTTGGCGCGGAGGGCATCAAAGGCCAGATTCATGTCTCGCATACGAGTGCGCTCGCGATCGCAGGCACTCTTGCGCTGCTCCTCTTTGGTCATCGATGAGTGGGCGCCGCGACCTCTCAGTGACCGCGCGTCCGGATATCGTTGCTGTCTTTCGGTGGCAAAACGGGTGTAGAAACTGTTGTATTCATTACTTAAGGCAACTTTGCCTCCACTCGTGCCACTCGTTGTGGTGGTTGTCGATGAGGACGACGTCTGATAGCTATTAATATTGTTTAGAGACAACTGTTTCCATGAGTTGTAATCGTTGAGCGCCGAAGAAGTCGTTTGCTTTACATCTGTTGTGTGTAAAGTGTTTGAGTGATTCAAATATGGTTGAGATCTGGTGTTACTGTTGTGCGACACGTGTGTATGCGACTCATCCAGTGTCTGGCCATTGATCTGTTGTGACACATATGAGGCCAATGCCAGCGCCGGTGAGTAGTCGTCGTCGCAAACACTGGAATCGAGTCGCGACTTGTCGTCCCTCGAGTCCCCTGTATTGAGGTCTGGGTTGAGATAAATGCTTTCATTGCTTCGGTACCGGTCGTGGCATATGGCCTGATCCCACACGTCCGGCGCCTCCATCTTCGTCAGTGTAATCAATTGGCATTTCTCCAGGACATCGGTTCCAACACTTTCCGCCTCTTCCTCCTCTTCGCACTCCATATGCCTTTCATTTGGTGTCTCGTCTTCACTGATGTACTCATTATTATTATTATTATTACTATTATTATTGAGATTTAGATTATTATTGTTAACAGAATTGTTGTCAACTATGGACTCGTTTTCAATGCAATTATCATTGCATTCATTACTGTTATTATTCACACAATTCTTATCGAAGTTATTATTATTAGTGTTATTATTGCCGTTATATTCACCACAAGTTTCATCAAAATTGGTTTCCATTTGAATATTTAGTATTTGATTAGATTTATCACAAAAATTACTTTTTTGTAAACTTTTGTTTTACCAAAAGTTGTAACTGTTTTAAACCGTTAATCGTTTGGTAAACTTAAACCGTTTTAATGAATTTAAAAGTGAAAGTTAGGAAAATTAGTGAAATTTTTTGAGTTCATATAAAGTATATCTCAATCTCTCTGTATATAATGTATCGAAACACAAATTTTATGGCGAAAAATAAGTTCAATTGAAGTTCATTTAGTATACGAAACACATGTTAAGACGCTTTTTAATGCTTTTTGTGAGTAAAAAGTTTTACCATTCATTTCATTATATGTCAATTAATTGTAAAACATTTATGTATTATAATAATCGGAACTTTTATAATATAAATACACAAAAACTCTATATATAGTGTATAGGGATTGATATAAACTATAAATGAATATCATTTTTATATTGTATATGTATTATAGGCAGGCATACAATCCTGAAGCAAATTGTGTGTGTTTTTCATACAAATTCATTAGTTATGGCATAAAATACACACAAAAACACTGATATATTTAAAAAGTAGACAAAAGAGCAAAAAGAGTATTGAAGTTGTTGTTAATCATGACATCCAACACATGTTTGGTATCTAATAATTAAACACTAAAAACCTAATAATAATTTGCACTACAAATGCAGCTGTATTTTAACGGCCCATCTCTCATGTCATGTCATATTTAGATGTCAAACGATTTGTCCACTTATTGTTTGACTACCTTTCCATCCCTGTGCCGGACACTACATGGTCTACACATCTACAGCTCTCTATACCGTATAGTTATGATAAGGTAGACACAGGTAAACTCACAGTTTTCCATCAGCTCATTAATATATTAACTTATCAAGCTTACAATAGTATCCTAAACAGTTTAGTACTGTATTTGCTATATATTTTCAACCTCGTTATGTCTATTATCTTCAACATCTCATTTCCACTATTATTAATGATATATGCGTTTAATATATAAAAAATTATTCAATTTTTCAATATTTTAATGAATTCAAACATATTTTAATCTAGAATATTTGTTATAATGAATAGGTTTACTAAAAATGTTAGTATAGTTTTAAGTTAGAATTTAATGCAACTATATTTTGGCATTTTTTTGTCTTAGGGTATATTATAAATTATAAATAATTATATATATGGATTATTTATAAGGATATATTATAAATAAAATGATGAATAAGACAACTCTATAAATATTTAGTTAAGTTATTAATCATATTGTTTTAAATTAATTTATAAAAAAGTATATAATGGACAAAAACATAAAAATATTTATTTGAATGAAAGTATAACAAACAAAAATATGTAATTTATAGGGAAATGTTGACAACAAATAACAATTGAATTAGAAATATATAACAAAACAATTAACAAAAAATACAATAAACAGAATTTAACAGTTATTTTTGAAAGTCCTATAATTATCTTATAAATATTTATAATTTTTTTGTAATAATTTAAAGGAACACAAGAACTAAACAACAAAGTTATAAATATAAAGAAATTTGGAAAAAGAAATTAAATAATTTGAACAACAATTTAGTTTTGGTTTTGAAGAACCCGTTAATTAATTTAAGACAATAAACAACTATTTGTTTTTGTTGAGGGAATACAATATGACTTGAGATATGTTTTGTTGAAAAGGTAGGGATTAATGGCATTATGTTTTTTGTTAACAAATTTTTGTATACAATGTATTGATAATAGGAATAAGAAAAGTATTCATAGGATTGAAAACATTAAACAAAAGACAGAAAGACTTAATACAAGTGAGTTATGTTTAAAAGTGATTAAACATTTTTGTAATTATATTTGTATTACTATTATGTTATAAATTGTCTAAAAAGTTATGTATGATATGTTGTATGTATTTAAAAAGTGTATATGTATATGAAAATTGCTATAAAGTTATTGCATAATTATTTATAGATTTGTATACATGTATATGACTAATGAATGATGATTATTTTACATATAATTGGCAACAAGTAATACAAAATACTGTAGATTTGAAACTATTTATAAAAAATAACTTTCTTATATGTTTGCATTCAATTCAATTGGTTTATAAAAACTATTATTTTATGTAAATTTAGATAATTATGAAGTTATTTAACTCTCATTGAAAATGTAATATAAAGTTAAAAACAATGTTGAGCTTTGAAATTGATGGGAAAGTGAAACTTATTTTAGTAACAATTTGTTTCAATTGTTTTCGTGTAAAGTATATATAAGAATACATTATATTTTTTCTCCATATCTAGTCTTTTGGTAATTATTTACAGAAATATATTTCAGGAAAAAAGCGATTCAATTAATGACACAAATGCATGAAAATTATACAATGAAAATATGAGAGAAGCAGAAAAGTAATAAACTTTATCTAATATTAGTGACGATTTGAGATGAGATTAATGTTAATGCCATGAGATGTTAGTATTAATGCAAATCCATTAGTTATGAAATGATTGACAAATTTCATGTTAATTCAGTCTTCAGTTATTTTGTTCACTCATTTATAACTATTTTTGCCGACATCTGCAATGATAGCAACGTCTTCATAATTACCACTTTTACTCACAAATTGCTTATTTACTCTATAAGTACCCGAATCATCATTACCTCCTCCATAGCCTCCACCGCCTCCACCGCTTCCTCCATAGCCACCACCGCCTCCTCCACCATAACCACCACCGCCTCCACCATAATCACCTCCACCACCACCACTACCTCCATAACCTCCACCACCATTACCACCATTACCACCATAGCCTCCACCGCCGCCACCGCCTGATCCCCCGTAAGTGCCTTCGCCGGAATATCCGCCGCCATAACCGCTGTCACCGCCTCCACCGCCGTATTCACCGGAACCGCCTCCATGTTGTTCAACTTTGTTCGGTCTCAACGTTCCCGCCTATGCCTGGATTTTTGGCTCATTAGTCGACGCCTTCGCCAATACTACAGACAACGGCGTCCTCTACGACGAGTCCGTCTGGTGTGCCATATATTTTGTTATATTGGGCGGAGCCATAGCTTTTGCCGCAGTAACCCAGGTATTTATCCAACAAATAAAATACCAAACAAATTAACGTTAATATATTGTTTGCAAACTTTGTCATAGATTTCAAGCTTTGGTGTCGCGAGTGAGAGACTGACGATGAGATTACGGAAACAGGCGTTTAACGCTATATTAAGGCAAGAAATCGGTTGGTTTGATAGAAGCGAGAACAGCACCGGTAGTCTGTGCTCACGACTGGCCTCCGACGCGGCAAATATACAGGGCGTAAGTTTGTTAATCATAACATGTATTTTAATATTGAATGGCAGTTAGATTAACACATTGTGTCCACTATTAGGCTTCTGGATCGCGAATGTCTGCTATATCTCAAGCGATGTCCACATTTATAGCTTCGTGTATATTCGGCTTTTTCTACAATTGGAAACTAAGTCTCGTTACTCTGGCATTCATGCCATTCATCATCTTCTCGGTCGTGGTTTCCATGAAAATTGTCTCAAAACACTCGACCAGTGATAAGGAAGCGGCAGAAAAGGCCTCAAAGATTGCCATCGAAGCGATCGGCGGTATTCGCACTGTTGTCTCTCTAAACCAACAAAAATATTTTCTACACAAATTTACTCAAGTATTGGCCGAAAAGATAAAGTAATATAAATTATTGTTTTCAATTAAAACTTATATTTAATTCAATTTTTATGTAAACTTAAGGCCAGCGAAGAGGCGCTGTATATACAATGCCATAGCACTTGGTTTTGCGGAATCGATGCCTATGTTTGCCTATTCGGCTGCCTTTCTATACGGAGGTGTTCTCATCTCCAAGAATAACATCAAATCCGGTGACTTTTTCAAGTAAGCAAATGTGACCATAATGTTAAATCTTATCATAAGTATTGATTAGTTATTAATCCAACCTTGTTCATTTTCATACATAGAATTATTGAGACAATGCTTTACGGAGCGATGGTTATCGGCCAGAGTGTCATCTTTGCGTCCGATTATCAAAAGGCAAAGATTTCGGCACAAAATATGTTTCGTCTGATAGACAGACAGCCGTTAAATCATAGCAATAATAACAGCCCTAATGAGAAGCCCAGTGAATGTAAGGGTGAGCTCTCGTTCCGAGGCATTCACTTCTCGTATCCAAATCGGTCTGAAGTAAGTGTTTTGAATGGACTGTCATTTAAGGCCAAAAAGGGAGAAACAGTAGCGCTCGTCGGCTCCAGTGGTTGCGGAAAGAGTACTACTATTCAACTGTTGGAGCGTTTCTACGATTCAGCTCAAGGAAAGATTGTTAGTCGCAAATATTTACCATATTGTCTTATTACTT